GGCCACTCGGGCTGTCCTGCCAGCCTCTCCCGGCACCTGAGCGGCAGCTGCGGGCGGGAGGTGCCCAGAGGGTCCTCCCCACTTTGGGGTGAGAGCCAGTCCCCTTGCGGGCGGCGTGCTGAGCGCCATAGCACCCCTCACCCAGAGGCCGGTTACCCCAGGGTGCGCCTGCGTCCGCCGCCTCCTCCCGGGAACCAGTTATCTGGTTGTGATGTATTTTTATCCCCACCCCACGCCAATGGTTCCCTCAGGACAGCCAAGCCGGCCCTTATCAGCAGTCCCCTCCCTTCCAGGCGGAAGGAAGAGTGTGGGCAAGTCCTGGGTGTGGCGGGGCCAGGCCTGCCTGCGAGGGCAGTGGCCAGCCCACGGGCACGCGGGGCTGTGGGGGAGAGGGTGATGGGGCGGCCAGCAACGGCTCCGACCTCAGACGCCAGCAACGACAGTGTCCACAGCCCTGGACGAACTCAGGAGTGAGCGGAGCACTTCAGCCGGGGAGGGTGTCAGCTGTCCTGAGATGGAAAGGGGGCGTGGCTTCCACTCCTGGCTGACCTCTCATGTCTGTAAGGCACCTACTACGTGCAGTGCTTGGAGCCACAGCGCTGCGTCCACCTGACTTCTGGAAGCGGAGCGGGCTCTAGGCCTGGCTGTGTGGCCTCGGCGGGTCCCCTGGCCTCTCCCAGCTCCGGGCGGCACCCCATGACGTGGAGATGGCAGGGCTCTGCCAGGAGAGGCCCGAGGCTCAGAGCAGGGGAGTTTAAGATTGTTGGGGACAAAACCCCACAGTCTAAGGAAGACTATTTGAAGTTATTTCTGAGTTACCAATCATATCGGATTATTTATGCTCCTGTGACTCTTGTGCGGTATATATATATACATATACATATGTATATATATTTAATATATTTTTATTGATTTCAGAGAGGAAGGGAGAGGGAGAGAGATAGAAACATCAATGATGAGAGAGAATCATGGATCGGCTGCCTGCTGCAGGCCCCAAACTGGGGATTGAGCCCGCAACCCAGACATGTGCCCTGACCAGGAATCGAACCGTGACCTCCTGGTTCATAGGTTGATGCTCAACCACTGAGCCATGCCGGCTGGGTGCGGTGCCTATATTTCACCCGTACGTAATCTAGCACTGGCTGGGGGGTGACTGGGGGCTCCCATCCCCCTCCTCATCGCCTCCCCCCATGCCCCGGGGAGGCATACAGTGGGTACAAATGGGGCACCACATGGGCAAGGCCCCTCTACTCTCCTCCCCCCAATCCCACTGCGGCCGGGTGTAGAAATCCCGTGTACAGATGGAATTTTTTAAAATTGTAGTTAAAGACACGTTACATACAATCGGCCTCTTTCACAGTTTGAAAGTGAACCGCCCAGTGGCACCGGCGCATCCTCGATGTTGTGCAGCCGTGTCTCTGTCTAGTTCCAGAACGTCTCTCATGACACCAGGTGGAAACCACGCCATGAGATGGGGCGGGCGCTCCCTTCCCCCCCACCCCCGCCCCTGGCAACCACGGATCCCCCTCTGTGCCTTTGCCAGGCGTCTCACCCAAACGGAGCTACAGAACATGGTCTTTCGTGTCCAGCTCCTTTCACGGATGTGATGTTCCCGTGGTGCAGCCGCATGGCTGTGTCGGCACTTCTTTCCTTTTCGTGGCCGAGTAGTGTTCCATTCCACGGCAATGCAGACCACATTCGGTTTGTTTGTTGGTTTTATCCTCACCCGAGGATATTTTTCCATTGATTTTAGAGAGAGAGAGAGAGAGAGAGAAGGAAAGACAGAGAGAGACATTGATGTGAGAGAGACACATTGATTGGTCGCCTCCTGCACGCGTCCTGACCAGGGCCTGGGCTGGGCAGGAGCCTGCGACCGAGGTACATGCCCTTGACTGGAATCGAACCCAGGGCCCTTCGGTCTGCAGGCCGATGCTCTATGCACTTAGCCACACTGGCCAGGGCCACATTCTGTTTATTCATTCATATGATGACGGACACGTGGGTGGGTCCCGCCTTTGGCTGCTGTGAATCGCTGCTGTGAACGTATGTGCTCATGGTCTCGTTGGAACCTTCCGCCCTTGTGGCTGCGTACCGCGGAGTGGAATCGAGGGCCGGGGCCTCACCATCTCCACTCCCACCAGCGAGCGCGAGGTTCCGGGGTTGCCACACCCACACCAGCGTGCGGTTTTCCGTGGCGTTGAGCGAGGCCACGCCGGCGGGTGCCACGTGGTCCTGGCTGCGGCTCTGATGGGCGTTTTCCCAACGGGAGCCATGTTACAGGCCTCCCGCCTGCCGGCTGGCCACTGGCCATCTTTTTGGAGAAATTCTCTTCCAGTCCTTCGCCTGTTTTCCAACCGGACTGTCTGTTTGTTCCTGAGTTGTAGCGGCTCTTTTAGACGGAGTCTTTAGTATGTGCTCACTCACCCACCCGTTTCACAGACACTCGTGGGCAGCGACGCGGGGCAGCCCCGAGGCCCCAGATGCAGCTCGGACTGGACCCCGCCCTCACGGCGGGGAAGCTGGGCATGGGCA